CTCCTCCCTGACCCCAGTCCTTGAAGGGGCAAGAGAGGGGCTGCGCTGATGCTTTTGCCCAACTCATCTCGAATGGGATTGACATTCCCTGGGCTCACACCTGGGGAAAGTGCCTGGAACCACTTACCCAGTGGGTCTGTATCACCACACAGGCTACCCCAGCTCCTGAGCTAGCCCCTGCTACAAAAAGGGATCTTACAGGAGACTTCTTCCATTCTTAGCTATCTTTTGTCCTCCACACCGTGGCTTTACAGCAGTGATGAACACATGTGACACCATTTCTCTTGCTTTCTCATGTTATTCTCTAATAAGAGGAACCAGGGCTCCTTGGAGAAATGGCTGACCCAGGACCAGGGCCAGAAACAAGACAATCCTGGAGCATGCAGTGTCAGCAAGTAAGGAAGCGCTCCAAAAACCACACACTCACACCCATGCAACGATGGGCAGGTGTCAGAGGGTCACAGGAAACAGCCCAAGGAGCGCCCGACGGCCAAAGCTGGAACAACGTGAGTAACCCAATAATTAAGGTACTGCTGGATCACAACCCAAAGCAGAAAAGCAGTATCCATGCGGCCCTACCCTGCTGCTACAAGTAAAGGTTGGCACGAATAAATAAATGGACAGACAAATCTCTTGTGCAGAAGAACTGGAGTTCATCGAGGATGCTCCACTCCCTGAGGGTGGGCTGTGCCATATAAGATGGGGGCACAGGGGGAACCTGGCAGGCAGGGGGTCGGCCAGGGGCCCCAAGTCAACATGAGCATGGAGCAGTAAGTCACACAGGTAGCCGGCACCTCTGATGCCAGGTGATGAGCACAGCACTTTACTGCTGGGGTCTTCCTCCCCCAAAACTGCGAACTCTGGTCTAACCATCAATAAATCCCACTGACGGACCCCTCCCCCCGACAAAAGTACCTCAAAATACCTCTATTCCTCCAAACTGTCAAGGCCATCGAAATACAAAACAAGTCTGAGAAACTGTCACAGTCAGGAGGGGCCCGAGGGGCCGCGATGACAACATGCAAAATGTGCCCTGCATGAGAGGCAGCCACAGGGAGAGGCCATGAGGGAGGAGCTACGGGTTCTCCTTGACACAGGCGCGTCACCGTGGCCTCAGTGACTGTGACAAACGTATCCTACCAGCGTGAGGTGCCCGCAGCCAGAATCAGGTGAGGGGTGTCTGGGAACTCCCTCAATTATCTTTGCAACTTTGCTGTAAATCTAACATTTCTACAATCAAACTTTAAAACCAAAAACGAAACGAAACCCCACCGTTTGGGTGCAGAATGAATAAAGGCGGCTGTTTGACTGCCTTGCTTCTGGACACACAAAGATCAAACGTGGGCCAGTACGTTCCCAAACCTTATCAGAGAAGCAGGCTGCAGGGAGGGAGGTGGGATGGGGTTGGTCACAGAGATACTAGGGGGACAAAGGAGCTGGACGCCTGGTCCCCTGACCATTGCCTCCCCATCCGGCGGGGCGGGGGGTGTCCAGGCCAAGGGCGTCCAAGGTGAAGGCCTCGCAGCGCTTACAGCCTGGGGGCCGCCGCAGCGTGTGCAACTTGAGAGGCGAGACCAGCAGGGCACTGGCTGAGCTCCAGGCCGCTGGCTGTGCCGGACGAAGCTGCCGGCTAAGGGCCCCCCCAGGGTCACAGCCTGCGGGCACTGCTCTCACTGGCAAGGGAGTGAGCCTCTCTGTACCTCTGCTTCCTCGGCCGTCTGTGAGGACCCGAGCAACACCCACACCTGACAGAAATCGCTGCGGGTGGACAAGACCACAAAGGCCAGCTCTGGGTGGACGCTGGCCAACTGTTCTCAGCAGAGCGGGCACGGAAGGCTCTGTTTCTGCCTGAAAACAGGCGTGAGGAGTCGGGGTGAGGGCAGAGGGCAGGGAAGGCCACGCGGGGTTCGTCTGCCGTGGTGCTGGGTCCCCTGCTCCTAAGGGTGGCCTGGCCCCTCAGAGCCGCAGAGCTGCTCTCGCTCCCAGAACACACGTGTCACTTTAAGGAAGCTGCCTATTGGCCACGCTCAGCTCCCAGGTGGTGGGGACCCGCTTCCTGTGCTCCCCAGAAGCAGCCCTATGCTCCCTGCCACACTTATTTGTTCTAAGGGGCCATCGGAGCCAGGCCCGCTGCATCCCCGCGCCTGCAACCTCCCTGACCTGCTGGGTCCCTGACCTGCCACGTCCCCAGACCTGCTGTGCACCCAGACTCTCCATATCCCCAGACCTGCCGCGTCCCCAGACCTTCTGTGTCCCCAGACCCTCCACATCCTCAGACCCGTTGCATCCCCAGACACACACATGCAGTGGCTCTGCCCTCCAGCAGTATCCCCGTCACGCTGCCTTCCAGCCCCATGTGCCCAGCCCAGCTCGGCCCACCTCTGGGGCTTGGCCCGCCCCCACTCACCCCCCAATAGATCCTCTCAGCTCCCTCATCCCAGTCCTGCCCCCACCCCTGCCCCAAGCTACAGGACCCAGCTCAGCATCTGCCTCCTCCAGGAAGTCTGCCCACATCACCCCAGAACTCGGCATCTCTTTCGGGCCAGAGTCAGATCTTCTCACACTCAGGGTAGAGACAAGGGACGACAACGAGAGTCCTCACAATCCACAGCCTTGAACCGTCTTTCTAGCCTTGGGGGTGGGATGGCCTGGAGATGCATGCTCCTCGCTGGTTCCCAGAGCACCCGGCTCCGCTCGCACCTGGGGCAGCCTGCATGGTCACAAGCGTTTACTAGCTGCCTCCACTCCCTGTCTTACTTCCCCTGCCAGCTTCCTGGGCTCACCTCCCAAATAAACCATGTGAACTCCAATCCTCATCTGGGGTCCGCTTTGAGGGCACACCTCCTGGCCTCAGCCTCATTACCTGTGAGCTGGGGGCAAGAGCGCCGTCAGCCTCAGGATTCTCACAAGGACTCGGGGGGTGACCCCAGGCATCACCCGGCATTCTCACAGAGAGGCACAGTTTAGGGGGGGCTTACATTCAACTCTCTGAAGAGGGCAGAGCGGTTGAGGACCTAGCCGGCCCAGCCTGCCCTGGAGATGCACTTGCCTCCCCCGAGGGGCCCACCCACATTCACGCCCATGTCCAGGCCACACCCTCCAGGTGGCCAGGAAAGGCCCATAGAACGGCCACCCTCGCGTCACAAGCTTGCACGCGGGTCTGTTTCTGAGCTGTACCCCCGACGTAGGGGGAAGCAGGTGCCCTGAGAACCTAGCAGGGAGGTGGGTGGCACACTGGTGCTGCAAGCCTGGATCACCTGCCAGGACACCCGCTGGCCTGATGGTCTGAGTCCCGATTTTATTTTCCACATGTTTCATCATCTGCTCTGAAGCCCTGTCCACTCAAAACAGAAGACCTTTTCGGGGGTGGGGCGGGGGACGAAACAACAGACCTTACTTCCTTGAGGACTGTGGCCAGCCGGCCTCCCCTGAAGCCCCCTCCCTGCTTATCCCTGCAAAGGGACCCACAGACTGGGGGGCGGCCCCTGGCACCCTACGCACAGGAGATCCCCCCTTGGGTCTTGGCCTGGCCTCTGTGGTCCCCACGCCCTGTGGTGGGGCCCCCGGGGGGACGGCGAGGCCAGAACTCTGCTGGAGGTGATTCTCAGGTTCCGCAGCACGTGATCAGCACGTGATGGATTTTATCCTGTCCGAGGTCAGTGAAGCCCCTGGCCAGCTGAGCCCCGTGTGTTTGGGAGCCTGGACTTTCCCAGCACAGTGCACACAGCCTGACACGCTGTACAGCAGGGGCCCTGGCAGAGGGCAGACAGGTAGGACCTGGGTGCTCGAACAGGTATGACCCAGCGCAGCAGCAGTGGGTGGCCTGGGTTCTAAATCCAACCCGGGCACCTGCTCACTGAGTCACCTGGGGGCAGCCACTCGACCTCTCTGTGCCTCAGTTATATCTTCTGTACGCTGGGCCTGGTTGGAAGGCCCACCTCGGCGGGTGCTGGGGGCAGTGGTGCCAACCCCTGCGTGAGCTCTCGGGGAGAGCCCGCCGTGGGCCTGGGGACACGGCTGCCGCCAGCCTGGCACTCAGCAGGTCGGGCCTGGGGACATGCTGTGCATCTGTCCTGGCTCCTGTGGCAGGCGGTGTGGCCGGGGGTGGGGGGGGGGGAGATGGACACTTGCTGCTTCAAGGGGACACTTCACCCTTCAACGGGTGCTAGGCTCACGTTGGGGTGGCAGATGTTCCTGAAAGCAGAGGTGCTGCGTGCACAGCACTGAGACAGCCTGAACGCCGGGCTCCAACACGGCTCATTCTTTGTGATGTGAAGTTCACCTCAACGCAAAACCAAACCAGAAAAAGGCTTCTGGGAAGTAGGTTAGGTGGCAAACACCCTGAGAAGACTCTTCTGTCCAGCTTGATTTTTTTTTTTACAGTCACTATATATGTTTATCGCTTTTATAATTAGACCAATAAACATTTTTAAAAAAGGAAGTGGCATGTAAGAGAAGATGCTCAGGGTGGGGTGGGGGTGGGTGGCATCTGATGGGCTCTGACTCACATTTCACTATCTACCCACCTTTCTTCCCCCATGCTGCTCAGACAGCCTGGACCAAACCACTTTCCTTAACGGCCCCATTTCAAAGTGAGAAAAGCGAGCCTCAGAAACTCTAAACCCCCTTGGCTCAATGCAAGAGCCCCTTGTTCTCATATGTCAAATGGAGGGGTGTCAAATAATTTCTCAGGCCCCTCTGGCTCTGATGCCCTCTGCTCCCTGACGCCTGGCTGACGTCTCCAAGCGTCAATCCTGCCTCTCAGGTGCCCCAGTGCCCAGACTGGCCATGCCGGCTGCGGGGTCCGCTGTTCTCTCCAGAGCAGGAACCAGACATCTCACCTGTCTCTCACTCCCGAGTTCTGGAAAATACACCCCAGTCAAAAAGCTGACAAACCCAAGAAAGGAAAGCCAATGGGCAGTGATGGGGTGGAAGCCTGGCAGCCCCTTGCAGCTGTGCCTGCCCTATATCGGCTATGAAATAAAAAGACCCCAACTCACCCCAGCCACCTCTTGCTGCAGGATCCTGGCTGCCTCCATCCGGCCCAGACCCAGTTGCAGCCACACCGGGCATGTTTTGATGAGCTTCTCCAGGACACTAATACCTCGCAGGGGAAGGCAGTTCTTCGGGCTGACTGGCAGACAAGGCCCCATGACATCCTCCTCCTCCTCTTCCTCTCCCTCTTCTTTGCCAACACCTGGAACAGGACTGACAACAAAATCAAATGATCAGCCTGTCCTGCAGGCAGCCTGACTGCCGTGCACATGCAGCGGAGAGTCCATTCAACCGTGTTTGTTCATTTAGCATCTGTGAAGCCAGAGGCCCTTTGGAATTAAAACATATGCAACCATAGGGTGCTTATGAAGGAATGGGTTGGATACACACAGAAACAACCAGCTGAGGCACAGGCTGAAATAAAACATAATAAGGATTGTTAAGATAATAAGAATTAACCAGAAGTGGTCAATTCTACCCCAAGGTGGCTTCAGGGAAACACAGGGGGCATTTGGGCAGAGCTCTGAGGAGGATTTTTTTTAAAAAAAAAACCTTTAAATTGAAGTGCAATTTACAGTGAGATGTACGAGCTGTTAGTATACACATCTAGACGGACTCTTAGATATGTCTGTACCCGCATAACTGCCAACCAGGTGGACATGTGCTGTCCAAGGATGTAGCCACTAGCCATGCGGCACCAGAAGGCTTCCTGAGAATCTTTAAACCTCCCACCTGGTGGGGGGGTCTCTCCCAGGAGCAACCTGGACTCTTGGGGCAGCTGGGAGTGACAGCTCCCATTTCCTCTCTGCCCAACCAGGTTCAGCCCTCGGTGAGTCCTTTCTCATCTGTGCAACGGCCAGGGGGTGGCCTGGAAGATTCCTCCGTTCACTGGGTAGCCCTAGGCACAGCCTGGGTCCTGGGGACAAAGGTCCTCATTTTCTCCTTAGGATTAAGGCCATGATCAAACAGACCAACAGGCTCTTGGGGGAAGGTGGGAGTCTGTCTCTTATTCACTCACAATATGAACATTTCCTGCAGATATTGTTCTAGGAACCGGCTTAGAGCAGAGAACAAGACAAGAGTAAGAACCAAACCGAACCAAACCAAGACAACAAACCTCATCTCTAGGAGAGGGGTCAGATAACAGACGGAACGAGTGAACTAGAGCAGGTTGGGTCGTGCTGAGCCGTAGCAAGGATGCAGCCATCTGGGAAAGAGCAGAGGACTTTGAACTACCCGACCTGGGGCAACCTCGATGAAGCCTGGGGGCTGGCAGGTGTTGGGGATGGGGCTGGGGCTGGGGGTGGGGGCGGGGGCGAGGGGAGGCTGGAAGGGGCAGGGTGGGGATCCCTCTAGGGATTCTGGAGCCCCTGACAGCGTCGATCCTAAATCCATGTATGAAGAGCTTCCCTGGGCTTCCAGGTAGGGACCGGACCACAAGAACACACAAGCTTCCTCAGCAGGAAATGGGCCCACCAAGACCTTGTGGGGCCTGGGTGGCTCCTGAGCCACGGAAAGTCTGCAAAGATCCACAGATATGAAGCTGCTCCCTGCCCCCAGCTCCCTGGAAGTCCCCCCCTGCATCCTGGGGACAGGACAACCAAGGAGAAACACTGTCCAGGCTCTGGTGTCACGTGGACTGTACCACCTCCCTTGGGATCACGTCCCCTCATGCTCTAAAACTTTCCATGTCTCCCACTGCCTAAAGTATCCCATCTGGTCTCCTAATATGGAAAAACATTCGCTTTCTGAGCCCTCCCCCCACATCGTAAGCTCCCCGACAAGAGGCTGCCCTCCACCACCTCAGTAGAACCTGCACGTGCCCACCTGGCGCTCCGGCCAGCGGCCCTGTCCACCTCTGATACCTTCAGGTTCCCTGTTACCTCCTCCCGACATTTTCTCCAACGGGCAGGCACACGTTTAGTGGATTGGACCAAGAAAGCAAGCACCATAAAAGGAAAGATGGATGAATTAAACTAATTAAATCTGTACCCATCAAAACACCCCATGAAGAAAAGGAACACTCGACCCACAGACTGGGAGAACATACATGCGAAGCGTACATCTAACGGAGAACAAACAAGTTCATGTTTAAAAATGGGCACAAGGTTGGAGAACACCTCCACGAAGACGTATCAGTGACCGGTAAGCAGGTGACCGACATCATTAGTCATTAGGGACATGCAAATTAAAACCACAATGAGATACCTCGATGCAAACTCCAGAATGGCTGAAATTAAAAAAGACTGACAAAATCACGCGTTGGTAAAGGATGGGCAGTAAGTAGAACTCGCGCATTATCAGAGAGAATGTAAACTGGCACGACCACTTGGGGAAAGGGGCATTTTTTAGGAACGTAAGCATACACCTGCCAATCCTGCTCCTGGGAACCTACCCTAGAGAAATGAGGGTGTATGTCCACGCAAAGACCTGTGTGTGAATATTCCAGCAGCTTTATTCATCACAGCCTGAACCTGGTCCAGGAGTCCATCGGGGAGAATGGACCACAGACAGCGGCGCGTCCCCAGTAGAAGAGGAAGCGCGGATCCGCACAACTGTATGGGTGGACCTCAGAAGCCAAGTGAAAGCAGCCAGGTGCACGGAAATACATACTGTGTGAGTCCATGCGTGTGATGCTCAAGTGGTACCGTGAGACGTGTGAGTGTACATTTTATCGCATGTGAATTTACACTGAAACCATAAAAAGAATAGTAAGTAAATACCGAACTGTTTTAACTGTTTAAATAAATACTGGACATAGTCAATGACATCTATAATAAAATAGTCGTGGGTGCCCAGATAGTCTTTGAAATGCATTCAAAAAGAAAAATGGGGGGATCCCTGGGTGGCTGAGCGGTTGGGCGCCTGCCTTTGGCCCAGGGCATGATTCTAGAGTCCCAGGATCGAGTCCCATGTCGGGCTCCCTGCGTGGAGCCTGCTTCTCCCTCTGCCTGGGTCTCTGCCTCTCTCTGTATCTCTCATGAATAAGCAAATAAAATCTTAAAAACAAAACAAAACAAAACAAAACATGACCTCTCAAAGCAGTAGCTGAATTGTGGGGTGAATTCCAGGACCCAGCCTCAATTTCTGAAGTCTGAAGCTCCTTTCCTCCCTTTCTTTTTTTTTTTTTTTTTAAGATTTATTTATTTATGATAGACATAGAGAGAGAGAGAGAGAGAGAGGCAGAGACACAGGAGGAGGGAGAAGCAGGCTCCATGCCGGGAGCCTGACGTGGGACTCAATCCCGGGACTCCAGGATCGCGCCCTGGGCCAAAGGCAGGCGCCAAACCGCTGAGCCACCCAGGGATCCCCCTTTCCTCCCTTTCAAGCTGGTACCTGTCTCTCCAGCTGGGACAGAATTGTCCAGAGGTCATGGAGGGCAGGTGCCCTTCCTGGGACTCTGGTGGGCCTGAGTGCCAGCTGCACCTCACACCCCAGGGTGAGATAAGACGGCCGCTCCTTGCTGCCCCCAACACCCCATCTTTTTCTTTGTCCTCTGTACCGACTGTCCCTCGGGGAAATGAATCCTGCACAGACGGGAAGGGACCAGCAACCCAAGGGCAGGTGTGTGGGAGGAGGTAAGATGTTGCAGGATGGAACATCAACCTCGCACTGGTGCCCCCTCTGCAGACTCACGGTTAGAGGGTCAGTGGCCACTCACATGCCCCGCACAGCATATGGCAACCGGACTCCAGTGTCTGTCCCACCCCCTGCCATTGCCTGGCCAAGGGACCAAGGGCAGGCACTGGACCCCTGCGGGCCTTGGTTTCCTTCTCTGTGCCTCGGAGCTGGTGACACCTGCCGTGTGCAAGTGTGCGGCACCTGGCTGCATGGTGACACTTCAAATGGGTTTTTGTTCTAGTTGCGGTAACCAGTATGCAGTCACGCCCTGCTTGTCCCCGGGACACCTGTTGCTACAGCAGCAAGGTGCAAGATGGCCTGAGATAAGTAGGAACCCATGGCTCAGCCCCCTGAAAGCTGCCAGAGCACTAAGAGGGTGAAGGGAGGCAGGAAGGCAGATGGGGCCCTACTCTGAAAGTGACTGGCAAAAGTCCAGAGAGTTGGGGACGCCGTGGCCTAGGCCCGGCAGCCCCCCAGGAGGCACACGGGGACAATGAGGACAGTGTGCCGTGGTGTCTGCAACGACCAGAGGACGGGACCGACCCACATCATCCATAAGAGAACGGGTCCAGAGGTTGTGAGTCCATCCCCCTGCGACTGTCATGCAGCTGCTAAATGGCAGGAACCAGGGCTACGGGGTTAAATTAGGATCCTGTCTGTTCCCTGATTTGGGGCCCTGTGCTGAGGTTAGGTAAGACAACATCTTCGTGTTTGTGAAACACCCACTAAAATACAGGGGGTTCAAGAGTCACAGTGTCTGCAGCCTGATCTCAGAAGGTTTGGGGGAAACAATGAGCGGGAACAAGCAGATGTGACAAAAGGTCAAGAACTGGTGGCTCTGGGTGAGGAGTGCACATAGAGGAATGTGCTGCACTGATCCCGCAACGTTTCTGGGGGTCTGAAATCACATTAAAAGAAGAGGCTTTAAAATCCTACAAACCCGATGTTGAGTAAAGTAAGCACACTACAGAAGGAACAGAAGGACTCGGATGTAAGAACAGATGTGACAGTGGCGTGTGCGGTTGCTGGATGCACACACGCCAACCCCGGAAGGCGGTCACCACCCAATGGAGGGAAGACGACGGGACCAGGGAGGGCTGTGGAGGGGCTCAGCCCTCTGTAGTACACGGAGATTTGTTCTAGGAGGTCTGAAGCAACATGGGGAAATGACGGGATCTGACCCAGCTCAATTATGGGAACTCAGGGCATTGTTATGTGCCCAGGTTCCCACGTGTCCAAAACACAGCACGCCGACGCCCCTTCCCCCAGGATGCCAGCACCTGTCCCGAGCCGAAGCCATGCAGGCTGCAAGGTCTCCAGGCCCCGAGCCTGGTCCCTCTGCCAGAGCCTCGAATACGGGAAACTCCAGTCGTGTGCACGTGCGTGCATGTGCGTGTGTGTGCTAAAGTCGGCTCTGGAAGCTGAGGGCGGGGCTGAGGCAATGCGGAGACACCCCGCCCCTGAGCATCAGGTCACCCAGGTCAGGCCCAGGGGCGTTCCGGGACAGTGAGGCAGACCTGAGGTGATGACGAGTGATCCCCCCGCAGGCCCTGCAAGCTCCCAAGCCACTGCCCTCTGCCTCGACCGGTCCC